ACTGTCGCTTATATTTTCATTAGCTATAGGAACGAGTTACTATCGCAAGATAAAAACCTTCTAAAAATATTTCTGTTATGATAAATATGATGAGATATTATATGGGCACAGCCAAGCGTGACGGAATTTCATTTTTTCAACTTGTGAGACATGTATCTCCTCAATAACAAGAGAAATGTTTCTGAAATTTTTATCATATATGAAGATTAACTAGCTCTACTAGCAGTAAAAATTTCACTGACTTATAATGAGCCATAACGGAGTTATATGAATAACATCGTTTGTTACGGAATTTCAAAAATGGACAAAATTTTGAGGGAGGATTCAGATTTCAATATTTTTCTCCGAAACTAACTGACACATAAATGAATGTTTTATACATAGATTGTTCAGCTTTTTACAAACTCTTAGAATATCGTGTCGTTTTCTCTGTAAAACATTTTCGTTAAATAAGACGACTTAAAAGATTGAGCGTTACGGAATTTCGCCTTTTTCCTCTTTTTCTGTGAGGGACAATTTAGTGACATTTTTATAATAATTTTAACTATGAAATCTAACTTTTTTCATTCTGTAACGATTAAGAGTATTGTTTTCTATAAATCGATTAGTTCATTTTCATGTTTGTCTCAAAATTTCATAGAAAACTTCATTCATTATTTTGACAAAAATGAAAATTTTCAAGATAAAAAAAAAAGCGAAATTTCGTGATTATTCGTGTTTTTAAACTCATAGAAACGGAAAATAATATTTGTTTTATATGTCAGCTGAGTAATTCAGAATGTCCAACAAACTTAATAATATTTCAAGATCATAATTTCTGTTAAAAAAATGATTTTCTATATATTACTGATTTTTAACCTTCACCAGCGAAGGGGACCGTTAGCTGGCCGTGCCCATATCCTTGTGCGTCTTTATAATTATTTTGAGTTACTTAATATATCTATGTTAGTTTTCTAAATTCATTAATTCACCACTAAATAATATTTTGTTTATAGCTGATAACAATCAACAACTTATGAAACTTCCATATCTTAATCGTCTTGAAATATTAACAATTGAAGGTATTCCATCGAATTTACATTATTTAAAAGAATTATTTCTTGCTGCACCAAATTTATCTGTATTAGTTATTGATTTAAATTGTTTATTAACCATACTTGAAGATGAAAATCAATCACTTATATTATATGTTCTTTTTCATAAACATATTCGTGATCTTTGTATACGTATATCAGATAATAATGAAACAAATCAATTAACTACTGAAAAGATTCATCTTATTGGACGAATATTTACTCAAGTTAGAAATTTAACAATCGATCATGAAGAATCTAATGAATATATTGAATCAAATTTAATTAAATTTGTTGTAAATCAATTTCGACAACTTGTTATATTACACATCTACGGTAAAATTCCTAATGATATGGTTAATTCTCATATTCGACAATGGTTTATTGAACAAAATTGTTTTCAAATAAAATCTACTGATATTTTTCGAATTGAATGTAGTAATACATGGTTTAAATTGTGGTTATAAACAATTGTTTTTCTTATTGTTCTTTTCTTTTTTGTTAGATTAAATTTTAAACAATTTCTTTATATAATAGATGAATTATTATACAAGCTTAAGAACAAACAAATGAACGAAATTCATTTGTAAATTTAGTTAAAAATTATAATTATTTATATAGAATAATTTATAAAAATATTCAATTAGAAAAGATTAGTTTTGAATCTAACTTTAATTCTATGACATTATTATTTAATCACAAAGCTTATCTGATGAGTTCAATCGTCTAGTAGGTTATGGATATGAGCGAGAGAGTGGATAATTAAAGAACAAATACTTATCCGCCGTCATGCTACCTTCAAGGTTCACATGAAGTCTTGACTGCATCAGTTATAGGATATGTAAAAGTAAAGTTATTTATTTCTTTAATTGTATGTTATATTTCATCAAATTGAAAGTATTTCTTTTTTTTTGTATCTGTATTACGAAAAGACTAATATGAATCAGAAATAGTATTACAATTCATTAGAAAGAGATGCATAATTTACAGATAGTTAAAATTAACAATGAATGTTTTTGATTCTATTTAATTTAAAGGTTAATAAAACTAACTATGAGGATTAGTTAGAAGAATTATAAAAGAAAGATTCGTTTTTAATTGACACAGAATCTTTTCAAAAAAAAAGAACGCTTAGTTATTTTAAATCAGAGATGTATCAAACATTGATCGAGAGTCATATTTTCGTTGCTAGTTTTCTCACATATTATTGGTCGCTTTATAATAATATATTTATTGTCCGTAGATGATTGGGTGTTGGTTTTCTTGGTAAGATGCTGTGAAACGCTTGAATTATTCCATATACAAGAGCAGAGTAACCAAATACCAACAATAAATTGAATTATAAACATTATTATTATAAATGCGGGTATTGCTCGCTTATATACATCATGTGAAAAGTAATAATCTATAATTTCATAAACAAAATAAATATGACCAACTAAAAACCAAATGATACACAAGATGGTAATCGAATGAATAAAAGCTATGAAATACTGAATAGCATAGCGTTCGCTAGATGAGAAATGCGTCATTGGTGTTGGCATTAAACTGTAGAAATAAATAAAAAAATGTCAGTATGAATCTCATTCCAATGAATAATAAGTATGTACACAGAACATTTACAATCATTTAGAATATTATTTTAAAAGATTTACTTACTGAAGAACAATTGCACATACATGAAGTAACACAACAAAAAGGCCAGATAAACCTTGAATAAGGAAAAAATCAACGAAGTTCGAGGTATCAGGATTAGCACCAGCGAAATTTATATAGAATCCAATACAAACAACACATATAATAAAGGTAACCAATAATTGAAGGCGGACTGAAAGTAGCAAGTGTTTGATAAGTTTTAATTTTGATGAGTAATGTTTCTTTGAATCTATAAGCAAGTTAATTAATGGCCATGGAAAATTCAGATTGTTTATTCTTGCCGATTCATTATCATATGTATTATCTTCTGGTAAAAATACTTCTTTTTCGTTTTGGCCAGACAGTTCAGATATTTTATCCATTTGTTTTGTTTTTCTATGTGACAAATATGATTATATAAAATATTATAAACAATGATTTATTTTGTCTTTATAAAAGCAAATGAAATAGACATGGATGAGTGAATGTCATGAAAAAAACATTCGATATAAAAGTCATAACGAAGTCGGAAGAAGAACGATAAAATAAAGCTATAACGAGGTAGGAAGAAGAACGATAAAATTAAGTTATAATAGTGAATATTAAATTGTAAGCATATTTGTCTCATGCAGTGATATATATCATTCTCTATTTGGATCAACATTTAAAAACATCTACAGTAAACGAAGATCTGATTTACATTTTGGTCGTGTCAATGATTGAAATTCTAGTCAATATTATCTTGTTCGATTTGTTTTTTGATAAGTAGAAAATACTTTTTCAATTTTAAAGGTGAATTAAAATGAATTATTCAACTAAAAAAATATATAATATTTGTTTGGTAATCAAAAGCGATGTAAAACAGAAAATACAAGATAGTGACCGTTTCTACAATGATTTCTTAGAAGAATAAAATGTTTATTTAATAGTGCATATATTTTAATATCTAATGACCACACGTATCTGTCACATATACATTTAATTAACCATCATCTTTTTCTATGACAACAGAATCCGTTACAGTGAGATTTATATCGGCGACACTAATACCTATGATTTTTGTACTTTTAATTTGCTCAATCATAAATCCTTGATCTTACTTATGGGATCAAATTTCACATTTCTAGGGCTATTTAAACTTGTAATAACGTGTCTTTAAATTCTATCATTATCTAATATTGTCTGATTTATATTGTATCCCATTCTCTCTCTAATATTCATTGAAATATATTATATCTATAAGAAGCACTGAGACTATTTGATGATGAAGAAAAATGAGTATCATAAAGGTGTCACTATTCTCGCCCAAGGAAACCTATGAAAACTCGTTCATATAATATTGTAATGTGATTGATCTTCTATTGTCTTATTCAGCAACAATTATACGAGTTGACAATGACTTGTTTGGTATATATTCGTCATGAATTCGATTAGAAAAAGGAAAAGATTGAAATTTGTTTGAATAATGATTTTTTTTCTATTTTTATTGAATTTAAAATCAACACACACAATTAATAATGTTAGTTACAAGAAATGTAAGATAAAGATTAATTTCGAATTGAAAAAAAAGTTTCAGATGTTGATCAGTATTAACATTATTAGCAATAGTTTTATCATATATTATTTTTTGTTTGATAATACGATTTTATTTATTATCAACCGATTGATTGGGCTGATGCTGAATTGATCGAAATGAAACTTTTGAGCTATTTTGAATACAACAATAAAGTAGCCAAATACCTACAATATATTCAGCTATAACCATTATTATGGTAGATATATGGATCATTCTGTTGTATCTATAGGAGTTGTACTCAAGGCAAAAGTTTATAATTCCATCATAAAACCAAATATGACCAATGAGAAACCAAACGATACACAAAATGGTAATGAAATGAGCGAAAGCAATTGCATACCGAATGATATGACGTTTAGTGGATGATAAATATGTCATCATAGATGGTGCCAGTCTAGAAAATTACATAAGAAAACATCAATAATCAATCATTAATTAGATTTTTTAACAAATTCAAAAATCAACAAACTAAAATATATAATAATTATTAGAATAAGAAAGTGAATATATAAATTACTATGCGTAACGGTATGGTTCACTTTAGTTTCTCTCTTCTATTATATTACATAGAACATGCGACTAATCATGGATAAATGATATACAATATACAGAAACAATATTTGTATCTTTAAAGTAGTTTCAAGTTGAAAATATAAACTCATTAAAAACGTAGTTATCATTAAAGATTTGTGCTTGAAAGGTTTTCGTAAATACGTTCAGATTTATAAAGATTTCGATAAATCAGATCTGTATAAGCTTGAATTAAAGCATTTTAATACGATAATGTTTCATTCGCATGAGAACAAAATGATTAAATATATCTACACAAAAACAATAGCGACGAAAGATAAAAAAATACAAATAGAGATAGATCATGATAGGCTAGATTTATTTCGATAGTGCAATCGTTTCATTTGCAATATCAAGCTTTTTATTTGGTTTTGAGATATCTATTAAAAGTTCTCTCTCTATTTTTCCACTTATCTAGATTTACTTTTCTCATACTTAACTAAATTCATTTTCTATAAAACTTATTTTCCTATTTTTTGTATAAGTTAAATTTATAGGTTTTCATTAATATGCTCTTTATATAGATCATTTTATTAGCAATAATAGCCGATATAAATAAGATATTGATAGTTACTCAAATTATTAGAAATATTATTCAGAAGATTTACTTACTGAAAAACCATTGTACATGCATGAATTAACACAACAAAGAGACCAGATAAACCTTGAATGAGAAAAAATTTGCCTAATATTAGTGAGCCTGCATAGCTTCCTATGATTCCAAGTCCAAATCCAATACAAACAAAACACATAAGAAACATTATCAGTAGTTGAAAGTGAAATGAAAGTAGCAAATGTTTGACAAGTTTTAATTTTGATGAGTAATGTTTCTTTGAATCTATAAGCAAGTTAATTAATGGCCATGGAAAATTCAGATTGTTTATTCTTGCTGATTCATTATCGTATATATTTTCATCTGGTATAAATGCTTCTTTTTCATTTTGATCATGTACTTCAGATCTTTTATCCATTTGTTTTGTTTTTCTACTTGACAAATATGATTATATAAAATATTATAAACAATGATTTATTTTGTCTTTATAAAAGCAAATCAAACAGACATGGATGAGTGAATGTCATGAAAAAAACATTCGATATAAAAGTCATAACAAAGTCGGAAGAAGAACGACAAAATAAAGCTATAGCGAGGTAGGATGAAGAACGAGAGACATGATTTTGTTCTATGTATAATAGAATAGAAAGACGCATTTTCGGTCGATCGATGACAACTACATGTCTCTAGTTGATTCTGTTCATCAGTTACTCAAAAAGCAGTAAAGCACATTCTATTTTGAAACGAACAATAATTTCTCAAACACATTTGTCATCTTATATTGACATATTTTATAAGAGAAAAATAGTATAACTAAAAAAATTTTTAAGTAGTTAAAAATGAATCGCTCTGACTGCTTCAAACAGTAAAAATTTGCTATCATTCTGAGCATGTGAATAAATCATATGATAATTTATGTACAGTTTCAATATAAAATTAAATTAACATTAAGAAATTTTTCGACATAATAAAGTATTTATAAAAAAATGGTTTGAAAGAATCATAAATTCATAACAAACAATTTTTTTCATCAGATAAATTATTGGTCACGTTGAAAAATCAAAAATCTTTTTCAATTTAAAATATAAAAATATATTCGAATGTTGTAAAATAGTTTAATGAAAATCTTTCTT